TATTCATATCTCAAGGATTTGATACCACTAAGGTACGTATTGGCTATGGCCATAACCAGTATTTCGTGGTGCCATTTGGCGGCAAAACCACTAGATTCATAGGGCCCCGGGTCATAACCATTTATCGAACAATGTCATTTGGTGGCAAAATCGCTGATTAGAGGACACATATCACTTCCTTACTGGTAGGAGACTGTTTGAGAATAGTTCATAGTAATATTTTTGACTATGCATTAGCTCAATGTGAACTGAAGTAATTTTCAATTTGTTCACCTCAGCAAATTCTTACGGAGAGTGGATGGATTTTGCTTTAAGTGTTGATGGATGGATTTCAATTTTAAATATCTTTGGGATTTTGAAATTTTTATTTTTTATTTTTGTGGGCACTTGGGAAGAATTTGAAATATTTAATTGAATTTAACCCCTCTGACATTAATTTGCAGTCAGGTATTTGGTCACTTATCCATCATGAATCTTTTGATTAATCATTGATCTTCCTACTATTAGTTGCTTTGAGCGAGATGTAGGATTCTTGTCCACCATGGATCATTGCTTGTAAACAAGTTACGATTGAACTTTTGCTCATCATAAGTTCCACATCCCTTCATTTGTCACAAGGGAATTGTACATCGCCATTCGTTTGAATGTTTCCCCACACTCATGTAATTAGATTATTGTGTGCATTACAAGTCTCTTGATATTGAGTGAAAACCTTGCATTGTTGATTGCAAGCATGGTATCGTTTAAAAGAACCAGCCTTGACTTTCTAATTGAGTTGTATTTTTAGTAACTTCCCCTTCCAGCTAAGTTACGATTGCAAGTTCCTTTTCTCCGTTCATGATTATTAATATGTAGGATGCTCCTTTGATACTTTAATGAAATTCCTTGCTGTCGACTGTAGACATATCATTGCATATGAATCGCTATTATTCACAAGGAGTTTGTCATTGTGTTAAGTGTATGCCTCTTGAGTGTGCTTTTAGACTAATTGCATGACGAATACAAATGTTGTAATCAATCACTATCATTCTTATATGATAGATCAAGCGTCCTATCTAATTAAAAAATTTTTAGCATTTGTATTCATCATGAACATGTGTGTGTGTGTGTGTTCAAAAATGTTCGACAAAAACTAGTGCCACATTGTCACTTCAGTTGGTAACAAGTCACCGTAAACAAAATGATATGTGTATGGAATTGAATTGTTTTCAGTTGCCAATGTAAGGGATTGTATTATAAAATATTAATTTACAAAAAATCATTTACAAGCAAAAAATGAGGTATTTTCCATTAAATAATAATTTTCTATGGAATTCAAATAGTGCAGGACAATCAATAATGACTTTACCTCTGAACTAAACTCTCAATTCCTATTAATGAAAAGTTTGTAGTTTCTACAGGAAATTCCCCACACCCACAATAACTATCACATCAACACTTTGGATAAGTCTATCCAAGATAGAAACTTGTAAAGAACAGATGACATGACAATCATTGAAGCATTCAATATAAAATATTTTCTAAGGGAATGTTCCTACTAGAAATTGGCATATATACAGGGACTTAATAATTAGAGTTCGTTGATATTCTCATGAGTAGGCCGAAAAAATTACCATGGGAAAATTTCAATCCTTTGCAATCCATCCGCAACCACGGATTTCATATCCACCAAAAACTATGATCGCTACTACTTTCTCCACCACAGCCAACACTGTTATAACCAGACTTTCTACGATGTTTTCTTCCCTTGGAGACACTGCTGTCTGTTACAGTACCGTTCAGAAGTGGATCATATCTATACCATGAATAACTCTCCTGGAAGGTGATGAAGACCCTATATATATAGCTAATATATATATATATATAATATAATATATATATTATAAATTTTTAGAGAGTAGTGTAGAAATAAAAATAATTCAATTTCTAAATTAAAAAAAAAAAACCTTTCCTAAATTAAATTCAAAATTCTTAACAACTAAGAGTAATTTATATAAATATAATTTAACAAATTCCTTTTAAAAAAAGCTTACAAAACTATTTTCAATTTTTTTATTCGGACGGCCCGACCCGTCTTTGACCCAGCTCAGTTCATAATTTTTTAGTAGGGATTGGAGAAGTAGAATAAGAAGGTTGAAGGATGAATTTTCTTGTTATTTTTCGCGGTTTTCCTAACACTTCAATTATCCAAAGAGATCTTTTCCACTTATAATTAGGGTTGAGAGCTCAATTTTGAAGATCATAAAATCATTCAATTTCAAGTGAGCCGAAAGTATGGATCAGGACTTTATTTTGAGTCATTGGTGGACAGATAAGGGATCGTTTGGACAGTCTTTTCTTAATGCTTTCTTAAATATAGATGTTTTAGTTAAAAGATTTTCTTGAATTAGAATTTGTTTTACTAAAAAGCTATTTTAAAAGCTATTCCCAAACGAAGCCTATCTTTATTATATAATATATTTTCTCGTTCTATTAATTATTTAGATAAAATTAATGTTATAAAAGGGATCAAATAAACATTAAGATCTTGACTAGAAAGGTTGTCGCTTATTATATTATTTGCTCATGGCTGCTTGAGTTAATCGAATGTTAATAATCTTATAGATAAGATAATTCATATTGCTTCAATTATCTCCAACTGAAGAACAGTAATAATATTAAAACAAAACGATTCAATATGTATTTGAGGAGGCTTAGAGAAGACAAAACAAAGAAGTTAAATTGTATTAAAGTATAATTACATAAATGCTGTAACTCAATATAATGATATCAACTAACTCTGATTTGAAGGCTTTTCATATATTTGATCTAAACTACAGATAATTAACAAAAGCAAATAGGTTACTTTGTCTTAAAGCGGCCTGTGATAGTTGAACAGAAAGGTCAATTGGAAAGTCATTTACAATCAAAGTTTAATGGCCGATTCAGATTCTGAAGCATTTTCTTTGTAAAAAATGCAGTTGCTTAACGGGTTGAAGTTAAACTTTACCATTGCTAGCATGGGACAAGCATCGCTCATATTAGGGCGATCGTCGGGCTCTCTGTTACACACAGAAGCGCCACGTAGTATGCATCTTGCCAACCTCGTTTCATGTCGAAATTGTTATCAATGCAGGATTCCACAATAGTCCATCCAAGTTCCTTCTTCACATTAAATCCCAAGCTAAATTAAAGCAACATTATTTAATTTTCAAATTCTTGGTCAGATTTCAAGATTAATGTCTCAAAAGAAGAAAGAAAAGGAAAAGAAGATATCACTCACATACGCAAGAAGATTGTACCAAGAACCAATTTGACGAAAAACCAGCACTTCTTTTCCCACTATACAATCTCAAGAAGCAGGACTCCGAAGCTGAATGCATCCGACTTAACAGAGAATAGACCCTCATAAGCGTATTCATGGAGACAATATAAACCACTAAATATGTGGTAAAATAAAAAAACTAATTACCATCCACAACATTCAATTGAAGTCCCATTTTTGATAAGTGGAGGTAGGTGTGTCAAAACCAACAAAGGTTTTGGGTCTGTTTCAGGTCGAATCCGGAACGATCTGGGTTCAAACGGGTCACCTCTAACCTGAGTACGGTTATGTAAAACGGTGTCGGATAATCCAGACCCAAAACCCGACCCCTCGTTGTTACCGGTTGACCCGACCCGAACACAGTGGACCTAGAGTTAGGATGGCCGATCGCGAGACGGCGGACAACGGGCTGGGCTTGAGGACGCGAAGTGCCGATTAGGCAGGCACTCGGGCGAGCGTCAGGCAAAACCTCGGGCGGCAGGCACTACCACGGGTTTTTAGGTTGACCGCAGAAACCCGATGGGTCACCCGAACCCGACCCATTTTAAAATCGTCTCAGGTTCGAATTCACGATCTCTCGTGTTGTGTCAAATTTTGACACCCTTATTCAAAAGCTGTTCTCACTCCTCCTCTTGATACAGGCACAAAACACATAAAAATAAACAAAAACTCTCTCACACTATCACTCACACACACCCAATGAGCCAAAGCAAAATTTGTTTAAAAAACAGACGGATTAAGATTTCATAAACTCTACTAGGTGCCAACAATCCTGTCGAGGTCTTTGCCTTGGCTTTCATTTAGCATCAAAAAATTCTATGCCAAAGCCAAAATCTGAGATTTTAGGATTCATATCAGCATCCAAGAGAATGTTGCTTGCCTTTAAATCTCGATGAATGACTCTTAATCTAGAGTGCTTATGAAGATAAATAAGCCCCTGAGCTATTCCTTCAATTATTTGGAAACGTTTTGTCCAATCTAATTTCACCCCCTGTTCAACATCTGAAGAAAATAGAACATAATTAGCACTTCCAGTAAAACAATAAGAGAATTATATATATTGATTTCTAGACAAGATTTATGATTTATTCCTTCATAACTTGATGTGAACTTACCGAAAAGAAAGACATCCAAACTCTTATTAGGCATGAACTCATATATCAGCATCTTCTCTTCGCCATGAATACAACATCCTAATAACCTTACTAAATTCATGTGTTGAAGTTTAGCAATTAATAAAATTTCATTCTTGAACTCCTCGAATCCTTGTCCTGATCTTGTAGACAGCCTTTTGATCGCTACATTTTGTCCCTCTGGTAATTTGCCCTGAAATTATATCAAATATAAGAGCATTTGCACATTACATATCAATATCACACAATGCACTGAAGAGTTTCACATATTATTGAAAAAGTTTATAAAGATGTTACCTTATAAACAGGTCCAAAACCACCTTCTCCAAGCTTGTTAATATCTGAAAAGTTGTTTGTAGCACTCGCTACCTGAGCAAATTTAAAGAATGATACTTCTGAATTCCCTTCTTTATTGGCTTCATGCATAATTTCATGACCCCAATTTACAGAGGAAACTGATTGTTCCTCTTCTTCTTGGAATTAAGAAAAAAAAAAGTTTAGTTTTTTTTATATGTATATATATAGTATAATAAAAGTAAAATAAGAATATTTCAAAAACTTACTTCTGCGTTTCCATCTCCTTCTCACAAAGGCGCATATAAAAAATATAAGAAGCAACAATACAGAAGCTACTGGCACTGTGACAAAAATCCATGTCTTTTTATTGCTCCTCCCTGTTATTCACAAAAGCAGTGTAGTATGAAGTCAAAACAAAGTGTCAATATTTATGTGCTGGAAAAAAGAAATTGGAAAAGGAGCTTGTAATTAAATAGCTTCTTTTGACAGCCCAAGCAATCTTTGTATTATGTTACAAACAAAGAGGATACCACCTGCATTTATAGGTGAGCATCCTCTTTTTAGATTCCTCGGTAGTACATTAGAATTTTATTAATATAGTTAGATTATCTCCACGAGCTAGAAGTTTATAAGATATTGTCTTAATTCAATGCATGTCATAATTAAAGGTTTGATTTTTTCTCATTCTACCTAAAAATCTTATAGTAGCTACACATAAATATTTGCTTTAAGAACTCCATTAAGAATGCCGACATAACATATAGTTGATAGATAGATTTTTCCCTTCACTTATTTCTGCTTCATGAAAATCAATATTTAATTGGCTTATACTTCATCAATTTAACTTGATTTTATAAATCTCATTACTTCAATCGCTTTGTCTTTGTCATGTAGATGATCAACCAGACGTCGCCTGTTCTACTCACACAATATAGGTTTTGTTTGCGACAGCTTTGTAAATTAACTTTTTATTGCAAACTTTTTTTGAACTAAAAATTTGTGTACTATAAAACTACTTTAATAAGCAGTATGAATTTTTTTAAGGAAGTTGAATCTTCTTGGAAGAGAGGCAGAGAGAGCTAACGGGAAATTTTCTTTAATCCTCTTCCATGAGCTTCCAATCTCCATTGCAGCCCCTTCTATTTATAGAAGAATGAATCTACTAAGACAACAAGGTCCTAAGGAACAAATAATCTAAAACTTGACGAATGCCTAACAAAAGCCATAGTTTCTTCTTTCAATATTTTAATCAATTCTCTTATTTTATTGTTTCTTCAAGGCTTCAATGACATAAAAATTGAAAGTTTCATAAATATCACCTGAAGTTCACTTCACATCTTAGATCTACTATTTGAACAAATCAAGCATAAATTAGAGAGACAAAAATTGCCAGCCCGACCAATGCCTTATCTTAAGTTAGTCAAAGTAAAATTAGGATCATAAATGCTTCAGTCTGTAAGTGTAAATGCAATGGACCAAAGAGACGTACCGTATCCAACAATGTCAGGCAAAATTTTAAAAATAGTTTTGTGTTAAAATAGAATTTGATTGAGTAATAATATATATACCATTAGATCCATTAGCTGGTGCGGCGACCCGGACGAAGAGATCCTGCTGCCTGTCGTCTGCAGAGGATCTGAGATCTTTAATCTCCGTCTTCCAAATAATGCATCCAAATCCTCCCCCGCCATTAAGATAAACGCTTGCAGCATAAGCAGTACAGGAGCAATTCATCAAACACCTTGTCTTACACTCACCCAAGCCCAAGCTCATATTTGCCACCGCCTCCGTCGTATCCGGCAGCGTCATGCCGCGCACCACCAAGAACTCGTCGGTTCCGTTCTCGCTGCAGCCAAGCGCTGCCCCCCTAACGCACCCATCAGACCAATTTCCCTCG